CCACTAGCATTAATCGCGTTAAAATAATTAGTGGCGTTAATTTTTTTTTATTAACGCGTTAACTTGACAGACCTAATTATTTCACATTTCATTTGCAATGTTGGATGTTCAATAAAAAGTTATGTTTGAAAGGATGTACTTGAATTATTATTATCATTATGTCAGTGGTCTAAAATGGTCTTACAACGGTGTCGACAATATTATCGTTTTACCCCAATAATTTCCGGGAAAATGTATCGTCCAACAAAATTAAGTATCGTGACAGGCCTAACTGGGGCAAAGGTTCACCTTTCAACAGGACAAAGACCCTAAGCACACAGCCACGATAACAAAAGGAGTGGTTTCAGGACAAGTCTGTGAATGTCCTTGAGTGGCCCAGCCAGAGCCCAGACGTGAACCCGATTGAACATCTCTGGAGCGATCTGAAAATGGCTGTGCACCGACGCGTCCCATCTAACCTGATGGAGATTGAGACAATCTGCAAAGAAGAATGGGAGAAACTGCCCAAAGATAGGTGTGCCAAGCTTGTAGCATCATATACTCAAGAAGACATGAGACTGTAATTGCTGCCAAAGGTGCTTCAACAAAGTATTGAGTAAAGGGTGTGAATACTTATGTGATATGAGTCTAGGGCTGCAACAAACAACTAATTTGATAATCGATTAATCTATCGATTAATGAAACGATTAATCGACTATTACTGTATGCCTTAAACAATTTCTCAAACGCTCTTATTTAGCCACTTTTAGATTTAGCTTGAGGTTGTTTTCGGCATGTGGAAACTAACAATGAAGACAATAAAGATGAATACTTGATTCAAAAATACATATATTATTAAATTAACACATTTTGCACAAAATTAACATTGCTTTTTATTTAAATAAAATAAATAATGTTTCACATCAAAAGAAACAACAGTGTTTTAACAAATCGTATTAAATAATCTGATGACAGAACTGTGAACAGAATAGCTGAAACTTTAACAAAATAAATAACTCTTACCTCTAATCATTAACCCATGTTTGTATAATTGAGTTAACTCCGTGTGTTGCTGCTAGCATACATAACACCTGACGTGGAAACGTTACTCGTGGATGGAGCTACAGAGCTGCTAGAAAGACAGTAGAACCTGGTACATTCCTCCGTCTGAATGTGGAGCACTTTTGCTAAATGTTTAGACAAATTGCTTGTGTTACCGCCCTTACATGCTAAACTCTTATTGCACTTTTGCCAACGGGCATTGTCCACATCGAGACAGGTAAAGTTTAACCAAACCTCGGAGCGAGTTTTCTCCGCCATCTCCTCCGTGTGTTGCTGCATGTAGCAGTCGCGTGTGTGTAAACTGCCCCGCCCCCTCGCACACAGACGGGGGAGAGAGATCTCGTCTGATCGAAAATACATCAGACGCATTTGTTTGTCTTTTTGCATATTAGAAACGAGTTGGCGACACTAAGACTGCGATATAATGTTTTTGTAGCAATAATACATGACATATATTTTTTAAATGTCTCCAGTACCGATAAAAAGACCAATAACGTTGGAGCTTAACGGCGCGTAAAACACACGTGATGACGTCACCAACGAATCGACGACTGAATTAGTTGGCAACTAGTTTGGTAATCGATTTTAATCGATTAAGTCGATTAGTTGTTGCACCCCTATATGAGTCTTTTCTTGTTAAGGCGAGACACGGCAGGCAAAAACATCGTTTTTCAAGTACTGGTCCATTTTGAGATTTTGTGCTATTTTGATTCTATAACATGTTTTCTTTCAGGCTTTTGGAAGGAAAACGTACAAAATACACATTTAAGTGTTTATTTTTTACTATAGTTTGTCTATTTGCGTCTGTAGATTTCTCCTAAATTCACTAAAAGTTAGCATTCTAACGTAACATAAAGTACCGCGACCGCTGTGTGCACCATGTCAACAGAGATATCGTTGGAAAGCTGTGTCTCTCCTGCACAATCTCATTGGATCCAAATATGGTCATTTCCTTTGTATCAGCAACCAATCGTGAAAGCACAAAAGGGTCTTAAACCAAGAAACGAAATCTCATTGGCTGGTGTCAATTTCTGACAACGTGATTCGTTCAGATGCGTCACGTGGTGTGCTAAAACACTTCCTGGTTAGCGTTCCGCTAGAAATTGAAATCTCAAAAGAACGGCGAAAAAAACGTTCACAGAGAAGACGACAACAATTGTCACTTGCACGAAGCAAGGTTATACAAAAAACAAATGACCCCGAACATGAAATACCTTCACGGAGTGCGTCGATGCGCAAGCTGTCATCCAAAGAACAGGAGGGTTTAGCTAGCGCCTCACTGCAATCTTTAAAGGTCGTTTTCTCAAATTGAGTTTTTTCTCCTACTCCGAAAATGTCAACTTCAGTAGCACATAGACACCAAACCTTCCAGTTATATTCCTATCAATATTATGAAGGCTTTTACAGAAGGGTTTGTTCATATATCATTCATAGCCTGAATTATACAACATTGTATACCTAAAAACATGGCGAAAATTGATATTTTAGGGCTGTATTTTATGATTTATGGAGTGATAAAAAGAGATATCCAATATCCCTTCTGTAAAAGCCTTAGATACTAATATGACTACAAAATGAAACAAGAATTTTGAACCTGGCTTTATCCAAAGTTCAGATTTCGATTCTTGAAATGTGTTCAAATATGTGCGTATTTAATGAGATCATGGATAATTTGCATATTTAAACATGCTATTTCAGAAAACTTGTAATACAAAAGACAATTGCCTCACTGTAAGTAATTAACTGGAGAAAATTACCCAATTCACCTGGGGTGTCTCGCCTTAATTCATTTACAAAATATATTTTAAAACTTTTTCCACTTGGTCATTATGGGATATCCATTTTTAAATATGGCTGTAACATAACAAAATGTGGAAAAAGTGAAGGGGTATGAATATTTTCCGGATGCACTCTAAATCTGCTAGCATAGTGGTAGTGGTGTTAATCTATAGATTAAAACTGCAGATTAAGGATCAGGGTTCATACACTTTTTCACCAATGATTTTCAATGACTTTTCCATGACTTCTCAATGACCTTTACCTAATTTTCAATGACCAAAAAAAAATGACCACTGAAAATGTTTTATTTTAACATGGAACAGGAAAATAAGGTCTGCATATGAAACATGTTGTGCCTATCTAAAATAAATCAAATAGTAGGCTTACTAGCTTCTACACGCTGAAGCAACTGTTGTCAGGCATGCAAACTCATCAGGTATGAAAAAGGTGACAAGGATCCGATATATCCAAAATATATAAAAGCATTTATTTTAATTGTGTAGCAGTCAGTTTATAATTTTGGCAGCACTGTTGAGCATTTTGAAAATGTATTTTCATGCCTCTGTGCAAGGCTTAGTCTTTCTATCTTTATAGCCACTGGTGTAAAGTAACTAAGTTCATAAACTCAACAAGTACTATAAGTGGGTAACATTTTGAGATACTTGTACTTTATTTAAGTATTTCAATGTTTTGCTACTTTGTACTTATACTCCTCTACAGTTCAGAGGTACATGGTGTACTTTTACTCCACTACATGTATTTAATACCTTTAGTTACTTTACAGATGTGGATGAATGATGTGAATATAATCAAGTCTTAAATCAGACTTTAGTTCCAACTGGAGTAAATCCACAAGCTACCCTGCAGTATACAAAGTCCTTCAAACTAGCTGCACCTTTACCAGCTTTGAGAACACTTTCATGATCAATCATTATAAAACATCATATATTATTCTGAAATGGACCAATCTGCACAATGACTACTTTTACTGTCGCTACTTTCACTATATTTTGATGAGAATACTTTTCTACTTTCACTTGAGGAACATTTTGAATGCAGGACTTTTACTGTGATAGAGTATTCCTACACTCTGGTACTTCTACTCAAGTACAAGATCTGAGTACTTCTACTTTTACTTATCTGAGTACTTCTACTTCTACTTCTACTTGTATTAAGTACAAGATCTGAGTACTTCTACTTTTATTAAGTACAAGATCTGAGTACTTCTACTTTTACTCTAGCACAATATCTATACTTATACCACCTGTTTATAGCCTATGAAAAAAACTATTAGAAAACGAAGGCTAAAGCTAACGTTAGCAGATAGTGATAGCTAGCTCAACGATTCCTTAAATAATATTGCGACAGAAAAACTTTTCAGTGCACATCACGCTCTGCTCTGAACCCTTGAACGGCCCGTTCTAACAGCTGTTCACCAGCGGCTCAGTCTGTGCCACAGTGACTCCGCACAGTTAACGAACGCACCGTAGATAATGTAGCTGACCCTCATCCCGGAGCAGCAGAGTTCAGCCGACAGGCAGGAAGACTCGAGCACACAGCTCGCGCTTCATATATTAAAAAATAACACCATGCGCGTCATGAGGCACATAACAGCTCGCGACCGCAGCTTATTTCGGCGATTAGATAAAAAGTAAATTATATTTGACTCAACTTTAGTTACATTTCCATGACTTTTCCAAAACTTTGGGAAAAATATTGTTTTCCATAACTTTTCCAGGGCCTGGAATTTGCATTTTGAATTTCCATGACTTTTCCAGGTTTTCAATGATCGTACGAACCCTGAAGGATCATACAAAATGTGTCAACATACTCAGATGGACTTGGCTGTCAGCGCAATGTCTAAGAATTCTGCACGAGTTTCATTTTTTTCTTCATGCTGTGTGTAGGAAAGACATAACAGAATGAAACAATCATGTAAACTCTATTCTTAACCTCACTTAACCATACAAGACACCTGCTGCTTAAGACATTAATCTATAGGAATAGTAAAAATATATAAATAAGGATGGGCTTGTAGACACAGGTGAAAAAAAAAGGCAGACAGGAAAAATATGAGACTGCCATCAAGGACAAACACCAAGCCATTGGCAGAAGCCTCAACATTTTGTATAATACGGTCATATGGCACCCCCTATATATAGCAAATGGTACAACCATACCTTTGAGTGCTGGCACTGCTGACTGCAGGTGCATAAAGTCTGTTGTCCTCTGCGCTCCATTTGATGGGTACGATGACCTTAGTGGGTGCTGCCGTTTCCGTGCGCCGATTTGGATTCACCACTACGGATTTCACCTTGAAAAAGCATAAGTAAAATGTAATTAAGTTAAACAAACATGGCTCGATGTGTGCAGGACAACATCCTCTATACCAGGGGTATTCAACTAAAATTCAACGAGGTCCAGTTAGAGAAAATCTCCCCATGCAAAGGTCCGGAACATCAAAATGTCTAACTTGCTTCATGAATTAGTGTGATATATATTGAAGTAGCCTGTAGCTTTATCAACGTCTGCATGTAATCAACAACTGACTGCCAATCAAATAAAGAAAGTACAATTCAAAAACAACAATATTTATTGTCAATTAACATTGAACTATACAGATATACAGTAAATACTGTGGATATGTGTAATGTTCCTCTTGGGCTGCATTTAAAAATAAAATAGAGAAAATAAATAAAATATCTTTTGAAAATATGTGCATCTTAAAAGTGCTTCATTTTAGATAAATAAAATAAAGTGTAGCAGCAGCTTGAGTTTCCCTTTCTCTTTGTTAACCGTTTCACATCATGACTTAACAGTTTCAGACGATTATAGAACAATATCAGTCTTTACACATCATAACAATTGAACAGTTTTAAAGTTTCTCTTTCTTTCCCTTGTATGCCCTGGAACGATATTTAGTTTTAATTTTGATCCTGGTGGACTGATCATATCGGGCTCTGAGACTGCTTATTTTTTGTGACCTCAGTTCTGACTTGAGAGGGAATGTTTGGTCAAACACTTTGTGTTTTGTCTCATAGTGGCGTTTTGGCACTTTTAATGAGCACCACGGTCTCTGAACAAATGAGACACTGGTTCTGTGCTCCCAGTGGGAAGGATGAACATGAATGAGTCCGTCCACTCGGGGTTAAAAGCTCTGTTCTCACTGTCCCCTTTCCTCTTCTTGGAGAGCGCCATGTGTCATTATGTGTCTCTCCCTGTCTGCCGCTAACACGCCTGTTCACTCTCCTCTCCCTGTATCGCTAATTATTCTCTTCACACTTTCCTCTCCGCTTCTCTCTGCCGCGCTCTCATCTCTTCTTCTGTGTTTCTCTCCCTGTATCGCTCACTCGTCTCTATCGCCCCCTGTCGGCGGCGCTTAAAAATAGAATCGCCCCGTCAAAATTTAAATCCCCTATTAATGTATTGATTATAGGTCCGGGTCCGTATAGGTCGGCGTCTGGGTCCGGATCCTGTTGCCGACCCCTGCTCTATACCTACTGGTGAAACAGCTTACCTGAACTTGGAGGGGTAATGAGGGCTCGTATGAAGTGTCAAGAGTGAATTCCTCTCCAGCGGGTGTGGCTTCAAACATGGATGAGTTCGAAATAGAGGAACCAATGTTCCATGCATCTTCAACCTCACCCTCTAAACACTCCACGGGACCCTCATCTTGTACCACAGTTTGCTTTGAGTCTGCCCCATCACACGTCAATCTGTGCAGAACAGTCCCATTGTCCACCCTCTCTCCTAAGGACAGGGGTTTACCTTCCACCTGCTCTAACTGCAGCGGAGAGCTCACAGTTTCAATTGTTTCCTTGCTCACATCTTTTGTGTCATTTAAAAGGACAGCAAAAGATGTGGAAAAAGGGGAAACTGAATCTGCTCTTGAAGGAGGGCTGAAGTACCCCAGGTCAGGGGACAAATCATTTTGAATACAGGTCTTTTTTGCTGGAGTCTCATAACTGTCGCCAATACAGGAGTCCTCTACTTTTCTTTTGTCAGAATTGTTTATTAATTCAAATTCAAAATTTACAAATGGATTTGACTCAGACTTTCTTGGGTCATTGACATCTGTCTTTTGCTCACAAGCGACCATCCGGGAATATTTAGAGAGAGGTTTAAAGTGCTTGTCAGTGCCGGGCATAGTGAAAATGAAGTTTGTTGAATTCGCGTTTTTATCCATTTCTGTTGAAAAAGAACACAAACATACGTTCATCAGTTAACAACCATAATTTCTATCATTAAGAAACAATATTTTAAAAGTATAAATCAACAATTGAAAGTAAAAATCAATGCAATGTTTTACTTGTAAAGTTAGTTTAAAAATATTTATTTAAAGTTTAATTAATGAGATCCATTATTTTAAATAAATATTAAGGAATGCATGACTTACCCTGAACACAACATTTTAATTATTTATTACAAACTCATCGAGTCAAAGCAATCCTCAAAACCTACATAATTCTATCTTAAATTTAAAAATAAAAAAAATAAAAAAATCCAAAGCCATCAAATTTGTCCGGATGATTTGAATGAACCGATATAAAATATATATATATATTAAATAAAAGGATGCAGACTTCGTTTAGGTCTCAACCTAAATAGCTGGCTATAAAAAAATAAAAGTACCAATACCAATTAGACTTAAAGAACCAAAAGTAAAATGACTTTTTATGCCTAAAAAGGTCCATTTCAGAATCATATACATTACATTACAGAATTTGGATCATTGGTGGAAGAAGTACTCAGATCCTTTACTTAAATAAAAAGTATTCTTAACTAAAAGTACAGAAGTACTGCAGGGTGCAGGGATGATGTATTTTTGCAGGCCGACCCGGAATTAATCTATCGGTCATAAATCTACAAAAATACGTCATCCCTGCACCACTCTATAGGTTTATGATTCGAAAAATCCTATGGAGAAATTGCATTGCTTTTTTGTCGAATGAACCCATGCGCAGCTTACTTCCGGGTTTTAGGACGCGTCACTGTGGCACTCTATTATAAGTATATTTATTAAATGACATTCATTATTGATAATAGTGTTTCATTTTACTGTTGTACACAAACAAAGTTTTGAAACACTAATTTTTGGGAAACCTTTTTGTAATATATTTAATTGTATTGTACGCAGTTGGTAAACTATTTTAAGTGATGCAAAACATCTAGTTTTGGAGATGCATTATGTTAAAACAGGGTATATGCAGGAATCCTGAAGTCAAATTGAATACCTTTTAAGACCTTTTTTAAGACCCTTTCCATACATTTTAAGACCTCATCGCAACTTCGAGTTCTAACCGGTTACATTGGCGACACACTTTACCTCACATTTACTATATTGATTGTAAGATAGCACAACTAAACAGAGTGCAGACAGACTACTGAAGCCTCCTCTCCACATGAACTTCAACCTCTCTGTGAAGGTCAGGTTTAATGCAGTATTTCGTTTGGGGGCTTCGTGCGCAATCCTGTGAGGAGGAGGTGGTAGCCGTTTCAGTCTCCATTGTGTTTGAAGTGCGATTGCGAACTGCTTGTTGCTTTGGGTGACCCACGTGTGTGTAGCGACGCGTCGACGCGGAAATATGTCGTCGACGATATTTTGAAGTCGACGCGTCGCTACAGCACTACCGTTCACACTAGACCGCTGGAAATGCTGGAAACGCTGTAGTACATATGCCAGGCCTGTAAGTGGCGCTGCTGCCGCCACAAAATACACCAAAAGCAGCGAAGAAGACCCCGGAGCATGGTTGTCATTAGGGATGCACGATAATTATCGGTCCGATATTAGGAATGATGACGTCATCCCGATAAAAGTATTAATAGCCCCGATAATATACAATATATTTTTTAGGTAAAAAAAAAGAAAAAAATACTGCGGTGTGGGTGGATTGGGATGAGGGGCGCTTGTTTTTCACTCGGCTCCTCCCGTTTTGCCAGTACTGTGGTATTAGTGGTTTAGGAAGAGGGGAGTTCTTCACAAATCCAGCGCTCCCGAACTCATGCCTGGCTGTGACGTAAATGGTGTGCGGCCGTGAAGCCAGGACAGTAAACAAACATGTCGTCGGTGGTATGGGACTATTTCAAAGTTTCAGAGTTGGAAAGTTCGCTTGCTATTTGTAACAAATGTAATGCAGAAGTTCCACGAGGAGGGAAAAAGGCAACGAGCTATAATACTTCGAACCTGATCAGTCACCTGAAACATCGCCACGATCTTTTCGTACAATGTCCCACTGTCTGGCTGCCTGCATAAAGTCAAGTGCTCGGCGCAGTTGTGGCGAAATGTCGCTCCTCTGTTTTCATTTAAACAGCTCCTTATATCCGTTAGCGCAGCTAGCTAGCACCAGATGCTAACAACAACAATGCACGTAAGGTCTCTCTCTCGCTCGGGCCACACATACACACACCCTCCCGGTCCTCCAGATGGCCTGCCGGTGCCTGCCGGTGAGCGTGGAAGTGTGGTCTGCCACAAGCGGGCGGCAGGAGCGGGGCTGTCAGCATCAGCTTGTAGATGGTATTTTAAACTCGATGCGCTCTGAAACTACGGGGCGGCCAAGGAAAAAAAAATACACATCGCGTTACAATCGCGTTAATTTTTTTTTAAATATATATATTATATTATTTATTATCGGTATCGGTCTTGAGAAGCAGGAAGTTATCGGTATCGGTTTCAAAAAACCAATATCGTGCATCCCTAGTTGTCATGGTTGCCCTTCTGTTTATTCTCCGCGGTGGACGGCGTGTTCTCCTGCTGTATATCTCTCAGTTAGTCCACCAGCAGATAACAACCCCCCCCCCCCCACAGAGCAGAGCAAGCCAACAAAACTTAAAATAAGAAGCAGCATTTTATGGCACTCTATGCATGGGGCCACCTTGAGGGGGTTTCCCGACATGTTGTTTCAGTAAATTAAAGGGTGTTTCATGTTGTCATTGCTGTGGACCTTCTTAATACCTTGGAAAATGCCGTTTAATACTTTTTAATAGCCTTAATTCAAACACTGAGTAAGTGCATTGAACAAATCAATGACTGGATGTGTCAGAACTTTCTCCAATTAAACAAAGATAAAACTGAGGTAATGGTTTTTGGAGCCAAGGCAGAACGTATAAAAGTTAGCGCAGTCATGGACTCTGACCTGAGTTTCAACAGTTACATTAAAACAGTTACTAAATCAGCCTACTATCACCTAAAGAATATATCTAGGATTAAAAGACTAATGTCACAGCAGGATTTGGAAAAACTTGTCCATGCTTTTATCTTCAGTAGACTGGACTACTGTAATGGTGTCTTCACAGGTCTCACTAAAAAATCTATTAGAAAGCTGCAGCTGATTCAGAACGCTGCTGCTCGAGTCCTCACTAACACTAAGAAAGTGGATCACATCACTCCTGTTCTGAAGTCTTTACACTGGCTTCCTGTGTGTCAAAGAATAGATTTCAAAATACTGCTGCTGGTTTATAAAGCACTGAATGGTTTAGGCCCAAAATACATTTCTGACCTCCTGCTAAATGATGAACCATCCAGATCTCTCAGGTCTTCAGGGACTGGTCAGCTTTCTGTCCCCAGAGTCAGAACTAAACATGGAGAAGCAGCGTTCAGTTATTATGCTCCAAATATCTGGAATAAACTCCCAGAAACCTGCAGGTCCGCTGCAACTCTGACTACTTTTAAATCCAGGCTGAAGACTTTTCTTTTTGTCGCTGCTTTTAATTGAACTATTCATATCTTAGACTGCACTGTAACTTTTATCCATGTATTTTTTCTTTTAATGTTTCTTTTATTAGCTTTTCTTTTTAATGATGCCATTTTCTTAATGTCTTTCATTTTTTGTAAAGCACTTTGAATTGCCTTGTGTTGAAAAGTGCTATATAAATAAAACTTGCCTTGCCTTAATTTTCGCTAAATTGATTTATCAACTTTTAATACTTTTTAAGACCCCGCGGACACCCTGTAAAAGTGTATCACGTGAAACTTAATGCAACATCTGAAAAGTAAATAAAGCTTAATAAATAATATTCATTTATATATTTAGCGGAATAAACATACATTCTAACCCTCTTATACTGAAGCCAAGTAGAAGTAAACATTTGCATTAGATGGAAACACTCAAGTAAAGTATAAATACTCACAGTACAGTACTTGAGTAAATGTACTTCGTTACTTTCCACCACAACCCTTTCATAGCATGAACTTCGCAGCTGGCGTTAGCCAAAGCACGAGCAGCTAGATCAGGGGTGGCCAACCAGTCAGAGGTTAAGAGCCACATTTTTTCTATGTTACTGCAAAGAGCCACATCAAACACACAGTCACTGATACCGCTTGTTTCAGTTTTTTGTTTTCTGGAGACAAGATTTCAACCACGTCACTGATGCATTTTTGTGGCATTGGGATATTTTTGTTTTAAATCCTCTGGAGCAGAGAGAGGAGCTGTGGATTATTGGTATTGATTAATGCATCAGTGTTTCTTAGGGTCAAAAACACTAAACTCACAACTTCAAATGAAAGCGTTTAGTTTATTTAATAAAAGAGCACATGTTCAATGTGAAAAGTGACAGTAGTTATAGATTATTTGCAATTTGGTGCGATATATATATATTTTTTAAAATTATATATTTTTTTTAAACACCTTGAATTTCAGGGGGGGGCGCGGGGCTCCGTTGGCGGGGTGCAGTGCCCTTCCAAGACAATGGTAGGGGAAACACTGGATAGTAGTGTTTAATCAACGATAGGTTTCCCCCCCTCAAAAAGTGATTGGTTCACTGCATCGCAGGTATTATTGTGATTGGCTCTTGGGCCACATCAAAATTAGACGCGCTGTCATCCTCTCATACTGACACCTGACACCACACATACACACGTAGGGAGAGCCGGGACGAAAGTAACACGGAACGAAAGTAACGGAGCAATTTTATCCGAGCCCAAACAACTTTGACCGGCCAAATTACGTCAGAATTATCAGCATTCAATACTTAACAGACCTACTAAATATCAGGTTTAACTGTCGTGTTGTCACGATACCAACATTTTGGTTTCGATACCAAGTCAAGAATTGCGATTCCGATTATTTTTCTTTAAAAAAGGTAAACAGTCTTAAATGTAATTATTGTGCTTTATTTCAGACCAGAACCAGAACCATAACACAACCTTTAAACAATGAGAACAATAAATACAATAAATGACAAGAATTCGTATTAAATAAAATTAATACATTTCTTACAGACAGGCCTCGTGGTGTCCGTAGGCTTGCCCTCACTGTCAGAGATATAGCTAAAATACTTCCACATTTCGCTTCTGGCGTCTTTTTTGTCAACAAGCCGAGGCGCAGCGGCAGTTGCACTCCCACTTGCAGCCATGCTTCTCGTTTTCTCACATGCTCTGGCAGCTAGCGCGTGCACGAGAGCGGGGAGGAACTTGAGCGTGCTTTAGAGGGGCGGGACTGCAGGCACCGCTGCAGAGCAGGGAGTGGAAGCAGAGCGCTGAACACACACAGCTCTTATTTAAACGGCGCTTTCTCACCGGAGTACTTTCCGCCGTCATTCTTAAACGGAGGAATCGTAACGTTTTTAACGGCAGGGTATCGCGGTATACCTTTCAAGTATCGGTACTCCGTGCACAACTAGTCAGGAGTCAGTGTCTCTCCCCCGAACTCACACATATACAATTCAATATGAACTGAAGAGCCGCATGAAACTAGGCAAAGAGCCGCATGCGGCTCGAGAGCCGCAGGTTGGCCACCCCTGAGCTAGATAGTAGCCTAGGCTTATTGATAACAAAACAAATAAGTAGCACTTAGTAAAACTGGACATTTGCGTCACTTAATCCCTTAGTGGTTTCCAACATTGTATCAACAAATGTCATTAACATTAAAGGTGTTTTCTAATGGTAGAAGCACATGGCGCGCATTTACTTAGCTAGCATGGTTTTGAAAAATATAGCTGTGAGCTAGATAGCTAAACTAAACATTTGGCACACGAAAAGTCAACTATAAGCGCTACCTTAGGGTAAACTGATGCAATCCAACTAAATTGTGTATTCACGATATGCAAAAAATAATAGCACCATAAATCGACTCACCACTATCGGAAGTCCACCAGCTAATGAAGCCACCTGCTCACCGCATCTCATTCGATTGAATATCTTGGACGCGCGCACAGGTGGCAGGAAAAATAACGTGCACACGGGGCGGGGCTTTAATGCGATGAGCGCGCTGTTTGGATTCAAATGTCTCTGACGTGCGCATTGTTATTATTTCAATGTGGTGGTTCGGTTCTACACTGGTCACTTGTAATTTGACAAAACTCTAATTATATTTAGAGAATAGAGAATGCAAGTCCATGTGGATGCATAAAATAAAAAATATTAATGCTCTGTTTTGCTTTGCATTGTCCTTATATCGTCTAGGGCAGTGGCGGCGCCAGAGATTTTCTCTAGGGGGTGCTGTGGAGTAGCTTGGCGTTTCATAGAGGGTGCTCAAACATAGGGTTCCCATTAATGCACCAGCGCTACAGTTGAATTTTCGACTGCAACACTCCCCACACGCACACACACCCGCGACTGTTACAATGAAGGCTCGATAATCAGCTCACGGCATAGGCTATAGGTGTAAGCAGGGATAAAGTGCTATTTTTACAAGTGGGGAGTGGACCTAACCTCCTAATAGGAGGGTCCTCACCCTTAATATTGAAGTTAAAAGCATCAATCTGGTGCACTTTGAGAGCAACGTTAATAAGAGATCTATGGATACATCTCTCAACACCCATAATATGAAACAGAACTGTAAACAGATTTTCTATTTCTTTATAGATATTTTACAAATCACTCCCCTTTTAAAACTGTATTCTTGTTTACTGTCATATAGTAGGCTATTTCATGTTTTTCCTTTATGCTCTTATTTTTTTATACGGATCATATAAACGTGTGCCTCGGAAATACTTATTTACATTAATCGTGACCAAAACCGTTTGAGACCCACTGAGATAACTAGACTAAGTTAACTATCTAAACACGGAGAGAGTCCTTTACTTCACCTGCTGAGGTTATCTGAGACTCTCAGTCTGACAGGAGAGAGCTCTCCCTCCACCTTGTTGTTGAAAAAGCTCCATCCGTTAGCTTGGCTAGCTAGCACCAGGGTAATTACATTTTACAAAATGATCCAAGTAGGATAAGAGGCCCAGTTCATTCAAACAACAATAATGTGCACATAAAGACACTTGAAATATTTAGTGCAATATCCTTTTTTTTTAATGATACGTGTTGTTGAATCTTCCAACCTGTCATAATCAACATGTGTAAACTTAGCAACTGCATAATAATAACAACACATTTAGGCTTTTTCCTCATTATGATCAAAAGTTCCTTTGGATAAATTAAACATCTTCTGCCAGTAGATGGCAGTGCCGTCTCTTACATAGAAACAAAAAGGAACCTCGGCTCACACACGAGTAAATATATCGAAATACTGTTGCTAGATCTACTATTAGAGGAGTTCATGTATATTAAAATGTACATAGAAAACAGAAATGTGTCCAAAGGCAGAACTTTGTATTATTCACAGAAACCAAGGCATTGTTACTGTTGGCATGATGGGAACTGTTTTCCTGTGATGATGGGCAAAGGTGGGAAGTAAATGTACTCAAGTACTGTATTTAAGTATATTTCGATACTAATACTTCTGTACTTTTACTTGAGTAACATTTTGATTGTAGGACTTTCCCTTGTAACAGAGTATTCCTGCACTCTGGTACTTCTACTCAAGAACAAGATCTGATAACTTCTTCCACCTCTGGGGATAGGTCAATACACTGTCATTTAGAAACAATAATCTCACACCGTTGAAAGAAGCACGTTGTTCCTCACGCTCCCAGTCCACCTCTATGATTTCTGGCTTGAAAAACATAAAAAAGTTTAACCACCATGGTCATGCTTTAGTCAAGAACATAAGCTAACACACTGTATGTATATGTAAGGGGAATTTCAACATTGCACAATAATTTGTGTGATTGTGCCCAATGTGAGTCACACACACACACACACACACACACACACACACACACACACACATGCACACACACACACACACACACACACACACACACACCCACACACACACACACACACACACACACACACACACACACACACACACACACACACACACACACACACACACACATGAACACACCCACATAGAATCCTGAACCTAACTTGATAAAAAAAAATCCCCAAATGAAAATCATTACACAGTTAATCATGAGAAATCACTTTTGCATTGTTATCGTGGCAGCTGCTGTTCAACAAGCAACAGATTTAATCTAGATCAATGAATTAATCAGAATAATTTAGTGTTTTTCCCTAACAAAACTTCACCTGCATATCTAGAAACGTATTTTTTCTTGAATGCGTTTAATGCGTAACAGCAAACCTGTTTCTTATTAGTTCCTTGATAACCTCTGCTTTGTTCATACACAGACACCCACTAAACAGACAAGTGCACAGATAGACCCCAAAGGGGGCTTGAGCACCTGCACTTTTGCTGTCCCATTAAATAAGTGCCCTTTTTGTCAAATGTGATTTATAATGTTTGTTTTTTTTACTTTTACTTTTTTACCCTATGTGAACTGTAACCCAGTTCACATAGGGTTAACAACAAATACATAAATAAGAGAGAAAGTGATTCTATGTCAGCAGCACAGAGCTTTTCTGTCAGTCAGAGGGTTAGGTCAAAGTTGAGATTGGAGAATTGACATACACTTAATTTCTTTGTATTTATATTTAAATAACTGTCATTAAGCAGTGTTTGAACAAACGTTAGTGTTTGTTTTAAATACAAACATTTCAATATTCCTTTGACACTGTCTCAAAAAAGTCATTCCGGGCATATTTTGTATTAAATTATTAACAAAAATCGCCAATGAGCCCCTTCCCCTCTAACATTCTCTGCACGTGGCTGCACCAGAACATAAAGGTACCAGAAGCTGTCAGACTACTGGAGTCATACTTCAGGTCACGGTTCAAGGGAATCAGATGTGTGATAGATATGTTCAGGTTCCACACAAGAAGACCATATGTTGCTGAGTTTTCAATACATTCAGCAATTCATTCAATGAAAAGTAAACTCCAAAAGAACATGACTTATCTTGTGTATCTCTAGATAAACTCTGGGTGAGTAGTGCTCTATTTCTCACTATTTTACAGTTGTCTTGTGTGAGATACCGTTTATACAGCTGACACTGTTGTGATAGATAGGGCAGTGAGAGTATTCATGTAGAGTTACAGGGCAGTTTGTGAATAACCTACACTTAGAAAAACACTGAAGGGGTTTGAATGCTATTATGTCTGCAATGTAAATTAATCCAATACAATTGTTTTATATTGAGTGAAGAGGTGGTTATGTAAAGTCATTTTTTATCTCTCTTATTAAAGCCGTCATTCCCTCTGTAAACATGTACATTTTATACATTCATCACTCAAATCATGTCCAATAACTTAAAAAACTAACAATTTAAAAAACGAGTTGTTTTTGTTGTTGTTTTCAAGTGTAACGTTAGGTATGTGTCTTTATAGCAACAGAGTGTATTCTGATATAGGGTGATGTGCTCCAGCCAATCAGAGTGGGGTAAGGTGGGGTGATCCTGTGGTGTGAGGAGCTTGGTGGTCGTTCAAGTTTTCCGCTGTCTGTCACAGGAAAGGCTCTCAAACAAGATAGAGTAGAGAATAAAAATACATTTGGCTAGTGTCAAATATGATATCATTGTGCACTAAAAATCCATCCAAAAGAGGTGTGTCCTACTCATCCAGTTGTATAATACAATGAGGCATTGATTTGGAGTCACTAGGTCACCTTACTGATTTACTAAATCGGCATGGGAAAGGGATTCCCTATATTTTTTCTTTCTTTCTTTTCTTTTTCTTTTTGTATTGTCTTTTTGTATGGTCTATATTGTCTATTTGTATCTGTGTATATAAGTCCCTTTGTGAGGGCAAACAAAAATAAAAAAAACAATAAAAAGTTGGTCACAAAAAAAGAAGACGCATATAGTTTGAGTTTCAAATGAATTTAGTTGAATGAATGGAACATAATGCATATACCGAAACAAGCTACTGTATATTTGTTATACATCAACAACATCTCTTCGGGAAACACTCTGCATAGTGTTGGTGCGTCTGAGGGATTTAGAGCTAAACATCCTGTCAATGAAAACAGAACATCATTACAAATCTTGCTTCATGTGGGAAATACATGCCATTTGATATACTGATGTGTTTTTAAAATACCTGTAAATGCTATGTCTGAATCTAAGGCACAGGGCAATCGAGATGATGCAGACCCCGACCAGCACGATACCAATGATACCAGCAGGAGACATCCCTGTCAGGAGAACCGAGTTTGGCAGATAATGTACTAACAGATAACATTTTATTCTTTCTAAAAGTCAAGTTGTTCATTCGAATACCATCTCTAAAAGGGAATTTTTCTTCAATCTTACTACTAGTCATACATTGAATGCAAATCTATACAACAGGAATCAATCAACAACTTTATTAATCCTGCAAGGGGCAATTGGTTATGAGCAGCTTATAATACAGGCAGGAACATACAGGAAGAAAGCACACAGAAACACCCGGGCGCAGGAGATGTGGATCATTCCAATGTACACGATAAATAGTTCATAGCATCACAATAATAAATAAATAAATAATCAAGTTAAAAAGCCTTTCAGAGGGGGTGAATGATTTTGAAAAGCGATTTGTCTTTAGAGCAGGTATAGCATATATTCGCCCTGAGGGCAACAGATGAAATTCATCTGCAAGAACATGACCTGGAGAGTTCAGAATGCTCTCTGCTTTCCGCAGAATGTGTTGGTTGCAAAAGGAGTTTAAGTCTCTCTGTTTCACTCCGATGACCATAGAGCAGGTTTTAACAATGCTGTTCAGGCTGTTCCTGTCTTTCAGTGCAAGGCTATGGAACCAGCAGATAAAAGAAAACAAATAAGGCTCTCAATGAATGCTTGGTAAAAACGACAAAGAATGAAAGGCCTGACAGAGAAAGAGTTCAGTTTGCAAAGAAGGTGCATTCTCTGTTGACCCCGCTTCACAATACAGTATTCACATCAAATTTGAGGGAGTCATCGAAAATGGTGGCCAAGTATTTATATGATGTGACCATTTCAACCTTCT